TTAATTGGATTAGGTCCAACTACATATTGTTATAGGGTCTCCTAAGGCCTATATGGTTAGGTTTGACCTAATTATAAATACCTTAATATCTTTTCATAGTCTTCATCGATGTATCGATGGATTGGGAGATCACAAATCTTAGAGACCGAGAGATCAACGTCAAAAGACAAACACTCTCCAGCTTTCTGGATCGAGAATTCCTAGCTTCTTCACTGGAAATGATTCATTGGCGTTAGATCGTGCACCGAAAAACTGGATTGCGCGAATACCATAGTCGAGGACATAGACGAAAAACTGTAAGTTTTCGTTAATCATTCACGCGACTCATCACATCGAATAGCTATAGCCGAATCTTCATTGTTGGTAAAAAGAATTTTGATTCTGGAGATTTTTCAAAAACCGTATCAACATTATTGGTAAAAAGAATTTCGATTCTGGAGATTTTTCAAAAACCGTATCGACCCACACTCACCTTCAGTCACACCCTAAGGTAGGTATTGAACATAAAAATAAAGAAAGAAAAAGTGCTAATGAAATGGCTATAAGCTATAAGGCCTATAACAGTGGAAAATGCATATCATCCAACCATATATTTTTTGGATCGACCGCGAAAAAACAGGTTTTATTTTCCCCCCTAAACACATATCCCACCTCAAAAGCGCTCATTTGCCCCCAACTTCTTCTCTCAGTTTCTCCAAGATCACAGCACCAAATCTGAAAAAATCCCCTCTGCAAAAACAATCATTAAAAAAAAAAAGCATCCAAGGGAGGAATAACGATTGATCTATTCAACGATCATGAGCTATTACAATCAAAGCCAGCCGCCCCCTGTTGGCACCCCTCCTCCTCAAGGCAATTCTCTCAACAATCATGACCTATTACATTCGTGTTTGGTACGATCTTATAAACCGGTTTCGATTTACAGGATATCCATCGGAGGGAGGGTCGAAGGATGGTAATATTCCTCCGCAGCCGGGCCCGTCGTACCCACCTCCGGGGGCTTACCCTGGCTACCCGCCACAGGGGTACCCGCCCCCAGGGGCATACCCGGGCTACCCGCCGCAAGGTTACCCGCCTCAGTATCCGCCGCCGTATGCGCCGCCCCACTACGCGCCGCCACCTCAGCAGCAGAAGTCCGACGGCCCCGGTTGCATGGAAGGATGGTACGCCCACGCACCTTAGATTCGGGTTTTTTTTTTTTTT